AGAACAAACTGATGGTTGCCAGGTGGGAGGGGGATTGAAGGGTTGGGTGAAAAAGGTGAAGGGATTAAGAAGTACAAATTGGTACTTACAAAATAGTCACTACATCTTACAAAATAGATGTAAAGTATACTATGGGGAATATAGTCAATAATATTGTAATAACTGTGTATGGTATCAGGTGGGTATTAGACTTATCGAGGGGATCATTTCATATATTATATAAATGTCTAACCATTATTCTGTATACCCGAAACTAATATAATATTGAATGTCAACTATAATTGAAAAATAAAAAAAGAAAATGTGTGTGTACAATCAGATGACTTTGTCATGAAAATTTTATGCATTTCTGTAGTGGAGAGGTAGTGACCACCTTGCTAAATAAAATAATGGAACCTGCTAGATGTGTGGGAAGCCTTAGAGTGGCCAGTTTCCTATGACTCCAGTTTCCATTTCTCCAGAGAAAATTCTTTCTTCAACATCAGAAAGAGCCTTTTAAATTAAGGTACTTCGGAAAAGAGAAAAACAAAACCTTCAGACAGTCCGCCGTTCCCTGTCACTGGAAGGAAGCTGACAGGGCTCATTTTCAGGAGGCGGGACACAGCCTCAACTCCGTCCCATTCCAGAAGGTCAGACACGCATCACAGTCCATGGCCTAATGCCACCTTCTGCCTCTGCAAGGCAGAATGTTTACCAAACTGGTCCGTTTTTTAAAAGAAGTTATACTTTTAGTCCAAAATCTAAATGTGAACTCAAGGGGTTTTGTTTAGTTATCATCATTCCCAAGTATATAGAGGGTGCCAAAAAAATGTATACACATTTTAAGAAAGGAAAACTGTATTAAAATTGTAATACTCAATGTATACCGATAACAAAAGATGAATATAAGTCGCTTTTGACTTCTGCAATTACAAGAGGTGCTCAAAGTGGTTCTGATCAGCGTCCAGACACTTCTGATTACGGTGAACAACTGCTTGAGCAACGTTGACCAAAGTGTCCACTTGTGTACATTTTTTGGCACCCCCTGTATTTGTCTGTTTAATGCTGGATTTCACATCTGGGAGCCACGAGTGGTCAGCATGTGGGCAGATGTGTTAACACAGTATGGGACCTTCCTGAAATAGTCCGTCTTTGAAATAACATGTTAACAGAAGCCTAAGCCATGAACCCGCCCTCGTTGCTAACAAACAGGGTGGGCCTCTACCATTTAAGCACTGCCTCGTGGCCTCCACTCAGCTAAAAGTTTGAACTAGATGACACAGCAACCCTGAGAAGTAGGTATTATTATCCCATTTCCCAGATGAAGAAACCAAGGCTCAAAGAGGTGAAGGTCACACAGCTAGTAAGTGGCACAGGGAGAACTTACACCAGGCTGCCCAACTCTAAAGGCTGTCTTCCCAGTGTCAGGGCTGGGACGTCTCCGGGGTGTTCTTCATCCTATAAACAGCAGCTCACTTTTAGCCAAGGCAGACTCAGAGGGCAGAACTCAGTCTTTAAGGAGCTCTCTGATGCTTTGTGCACTTACATTGGTGCCTTTATTTGCACAACTCCCACCAATTAAATAAGTAGAATTAAAAAAGAAATGATAAGTTTATACTCAACCTTGTATCATAATCCTTTCAAATATTCAGGAAATATGGCTGATTGGGATGAATAATTCAGATGTAGGAATCTTCCTTAAAAAAAAAAAAGATTCTGTTTCTGAATCATTATGCTAATTCAATATAGTTATTTTCTAAGCAGATGAAACGTCTTTCTCTCAACTCTTTTTCCCAGCAATATATATTTGAGAAGGAAAAATAAAGAATTGTATATAAAGAGTAATCGTTGCCTAATCTTTACCAAAAAGTATTTGGAACAAAAAAATGTCTCAGACTCAGTTTTCAAGAGATTTTCAAAATGAATCAACGCAAACCTGTGTCACAGAAATGTCCTTTCTGATTAAAGCTGAGCGTATAAATAAATTGCTATTTCTCCTTTCATTCTCTCTCTTGTTAAGAACTGGGCCTCAGCCCTAACCAAAAAGCTGTCCTTAAAAGTTGTGTATTTTTTCTTCTTTCTTTTCCAACAGGGGACTTATTACTTTTGAAAATAAAACCTATGTCTTGGAACCAATGAAAAATGTAACCAACAGATACAAACTCTTCCCGGCGGATACCCTGAAGGGCATCTGGGGACCGTGCGGAGCACATCACAACGCCTCCGGCCTCACTGCAGACAGCAGGCTCCCACCAGCCTCCCGGACGCGGGTGACAAGGGTAGGCGGGAAGCCCAATGTCGTGTTTCTGGGGACCTGGGGGTCTAGCTCGGGACACCCAGTGCTAGACACCTGGAGACATTTTTCCATCCGGATGTTGTGCCTGAGGATGGGGTCACCCAGTGTGTCTGGAGGTGGTTGTTGTCATGTGGGCAGAGCATAACCAAACACTGAAGCCCCCATCCTTGAATTGCAAATGTTGGCCTCAGACTTATTAACCTATGCTGGGTAAAGGCGGGCTCAGAGGTCGACAGACATCAGCGTTGGTTCTGTCTTCAGTGAGAACCAACAGTGGGCCTTGACCCGCCATAAACAAGGTGAGAATGGACCCTGACCTGCTCTCAGGCAGCTCTCCTTCTACAGGAGGAAAAGGACAATATGGAGGCTTCTTCATGGAGAGCCTGCTCTCCAGTCAGGGTCTTCCCTGATCGGCAGTACATTCCCAGCCTCCGTCCACATGCCTGTCTGTGCAGAGGTGGACTGAGTCCTTCCGTGCGGCGTGGCCTAGGCACATTGCTTTCCCCAGTCGCTGCAGCAGCTGCCATCCTGCTCACCTCCTGGGACCATCCAAGCGGTCCGTGTTTCTGGCCGTCTACCCCTGGGTCTACCTTTCTGCTGTGTTACTGGAAAGAGGAACTGTCTCATGGAGTCTGGGCTACAGATCTCCCTCCTGCCAAGTGGACAAAAACACCACCGGGCACCCCACGGTGCAGCACTGTGAACCCCCTTCCCCATGCTGCCTGACCCTTTTACGTCATTCATGTGGGTTCCACAGGCCACAGTGCAACACCCGTAAAAAGGAGTAAGGGCAGCCATTGCCCATGTTTGTCTGGAGGCCCAGAATTTAAATGAGTACAACCGGATAGGAAATTACCAACAGCTTCCTGATTTTTCATCTCTGGCTGTCCCGTTGCCCTGTTGACAAGCTATCCGGAATTCGTGGATATGATGTCACTTGTACTTACACTTTACAGAACAGGAACACATTTTTCAAGGTTCCACTTAACACGTTCTGTCTTACCTGACTTTCATTTGAGTCTTCTGCTGCCTAACAGTCAACATTTCATAAATATTATTCCTCTTGGCTCATTCCTAATCAATTTTCCTCAGTTCACACTATAAACCTTACCCTACATGATGTCTCATTCTTAAAATTTCCCTTGTACCTACGGGTAGCGTGTGTTCTCCGCACCTGCAGTTTCAGGACTTTTCATTGTAATTCTACATTCATTCTTTCCGTCCTGGTGTTCTGCCTGTGTCCCCTAACTCCCTCTGTTAATAGGCTCCCAAGATTTTCTATGGCAGATACTCAGAACCATTTTTCTTTTTCTTCCCCGTCACACAGGAGGGGAGGATCACTCCCTCAGGGACTGTCCTTCACCTTGACATGGACACTCAGTGTGGGGGTGGGGAGCTGCCCTACCTCCTCCCCACCCCCACCTTAGAGTGACAGACTTAAGAGCTGGAGTCGCAAAGACCAGCCTCCATGGTCCCAGGACGTGGTCCTTTTTCCCTTCGAACACTCTTGCCTTTGATTTCAGACCTGGAGGAGATGTGATGAGGCTGTCGCTTGCACAGCCATAAACAAGTCGAACATGTGCATGTCGTTTTCCAGGTGTTTTGCGTTGAGCACCTTGTTGAATAGGCACCATCCACATTATGAGATTTATACCTTGACGGTTAAAACGACACTCAGCTATGTTTGGCATTTCATGTAGAAGTGTGTGCTTGGGCCATACTTGCCAGCCATGTTTTAATTCTTCCACGAAACCTCCAACTCTCTGGAACCATGATTGGCACTGTGATTTCCAGTCTTTTTGATTTGTAGAGAAGTGTGGAAAACCTGAACACAAAGGCTGTGTTGTTAATAACACATACTGAAGTGCAAATGAACCTTTACATTGAAAACGGAAGGCGTCCAGGGCAATTCAACTCCATTCTCAGTAATTCTCTCTAGAAATAGTTGTAGTTGTTTTTAGGGAGGAGAAAAAATGTCCTTGACTTAAAGTACGATGATATAATGAAAACGATACAAAAAAATAATTTTCTAATAAGTAGAATGCGCGGGCAGTAGGATTATGTCTCAGGTAATTTGGGGCAGCACCTGTGGTCAAGTTCTCGGCTGCTTCCCTGCTTCACTCGCATTGCCTTTATTTTCTGCTCAGAAATCAGTGTAACTGCAGCTAACTAACCTCGTTGGTGCAGCAACTGCGTTTGCTGTTTCCCAGCATTTTCCTGCTCTTACTAAATGACTGTTGCAAAATTTGGTTTGCAGGCTGAGCTTTTTCTGCAGACATTTGCATTTTTCCTCACGGAGCAGCGGGAATAAATCTGCACTCAGGGTGTGCGCTGGCTATAATATAACTGGAGCTATTGTTTGTCATTTTTACAAGGCTTTCCATTCGATTTTAGCAGGAACCCAAGTTGCTCCTGGAAGGGAGCCCGCAGTCAGATAGCTCCATAACCAGCTGTCTTCCTCTGCAGGTTTGTAAGTCCGGCCTGAAGAGCCCTGGCCACTGAGCTGTCCTGCCCCGTAACCCTCCCCTCTCCATCAGCTATGCATTCAAGAATGCAAGCGAATTCTGACATTGGCCTGTGCCAGCTTCAAGGAAGGCAGAGGCTCCAGGAGCCTGCTACTGGAGAAAATCTCGTAACACATCCCAAAGGGAAATGCAAATTATGTTTGAATTGCCCTTTCTTTAAGGATTATCCATGCTGTTTTTCCCCTCTGTTAGTAGGGATCATTGTAAGTCAAATGCAAAAGCTGAAGCCTTTGTCTAGAAAGCAATGTTTGCTTTGGCTGCTGAATGTAAGCCGGACAGCAGGTCAGGCTGACACTGTGGTGTCCCCTCCAGCTGTTCAGAAATGGAACCATGTTGTCGCTTCTGAATTTCTAGATAGCCTATTGTCTTTGTTTAATAGAAGCCACGGTGTTGGCGGTGATAGAAGTAGCAGGGATAGGGATAGATATTAAATGTAGAGCCTAATCACGGTTGAATATCAGGAACTGGCCAGCACTATTGGAAAGCACATTAATTAGAGCAGGCATGTTGACCCTAGCATAACGGCCCTCACTTCCGTACCTCTGAGAGGCCACACCGAGCTCTTCTGCTGCCCTGGTTGTTCTGGAAGCTGGTGGTGGAGAATGGCCAGCAGCAAGCCTGCTTCCTTGGCCCTGGGCTCAGCATCTATCAGTGTGCGCTGAGCTTCCAAAATCTGCAGGTGCAGATTCCTATTGAGTCTTGAATCAATTAAAGCTCTGGATAAATCAGTAATGGATCTCACTTGTTCCGCTGGTTTTTTGGACTCAATTTCAGTACTTGCCTATTAACGTTCAGTTCGTCAGGTTCAACCCGTTCTTCCAGCCTATTGTCTCTTGCTGGTTAGGCCTGCAGCCTCTCTCTCTATATATGGAAGCCCAGCCCCAGAGGCCGCATCCCACACAGATATGGTCAGTCGGCTTCGTCCCCACACAAGACATTGGAAAGGATGGTGCGACGACCTTTCACAGTGGGAAGCGCAGCTCAGCGTATAAATATTCATAAAGTGGCCTTACAGTCAAGTCATGGAGCCTTGCCTGAGTCAACAACAGGCGTTCCTTAGTCAGAAGAAGATAAACCAAACTTTTGATTCCTTGAATTTGCTTCTTGTACCACCTGTGGAAACGCTGGCCTTTGCTGTTGTTCCATTGCCGCTGTTCTTTTGTTGTTTGGTGGTGTCACACCCAGCTTCTGCCGCTGTTCTTCCATCTACTGAAAACACTGTTCCCGCCACATTTTCCACACATACCTGCCGCTCATCCTCAGGTCTCAGCTAACTTAGTCCCTGCCTTTCTTGATCCAAATTGCAAATTTATTTCCTTTGCGGCGCTTTTCACAGCCTGGGCTTGATTTTTGTTACACCTTTATTGTCACCCTTCTCCCCTCTCCTAGAATGTGAGCTTCATGAGGGCAGCACCTTGACTTCCTGTTCACCCCTCCATCCCCAGCACCCAGCACCGTACCTAGCATAGATATTTCCCAGGAGATATCTGTGGGGTGAGTGAATGATAGGCAAACAGCCTGACCCATAGGAAGAGAGCGTCACAACGAGAGCTTATTGTCACCCTGATCTCAGCAGCACTTTTCTAACTTGAGTTAGGTTAAGCTCCTCATTGCAGCACGTTTGGGGGACATTCTATCTCCGGGAACTTGGCTGTTTCGAAGTATGGCTTCGAGAGACCCAGGAGCTGCTTCCCTGTTGAGCAAGACTCAAGGAATGCCTCGGTCTCCATCTTGGAGCAGAGACCACCGGGCCATTCTCAGAGGCTTCTGTTTCTATCTGTTTGGGGAAAGGTTTTTGTTTATAGCCCCCAAAATGAAAATGTAATCAAGCAACCAGTTTCAAGTGTTGCTCTGCATATCGAAAGTTTTAAATACGATTTGTTTTCTTAACTGGACAGCCCAAATAGGTCTAAATCATGTGGAGGTAATTTAAGCCTTTCTGTGTGTGCAGCTGATGGAATGAACCTTCGTGGACATGAGCCGGCCACTCCCCCCATGGCTTTTTATTATTATGTGGTTAGCTTCTCTCTGCGCTTGCAGTTCTCTGAATTCATGAGAAAATTTGGACTCATCTGAAAACTGCCGACGCAGGAAAATTGTGCTCATGTGTTTGTTTTCATTATCTGGAATTGTGTATTTTCTAAATGATGATCCAAGGCCACTTGGAAATGGCCCCTCATTATTTACTTCACCCCTTCGCAGCCTAAAAGTGTCAACGTCTAAACGAGCAGGGCCCTTTCTTGAGTTTTTCAATGGGAGATTATTTTTGTCATGTACAGAGCTCTAGTTTCTTCTGTGTAATTAGCTGAATCTGTTAACGGTTAATCAGGGAATCATGGGGGTGGAAAAAAGAGACTTCTGCTTCTTTCACACCTCAGTAAGGAGAAGGCGTAACATCCTCACACTTTGGGAAGGTGTCTCATTTTGTGTAGACCAGTGGATACCACTGGGGCCAATGTTTTCTCCTTTATAGGTACACAGTTATCACCATAAAACACACCTACAACATACAGTGACAAAGCTTGACTTTTTTTTTCTTGTAACGTTGTAAAAGTATGAGAAATTACACTTTTCATGGTGCTTTATTTTTTTCTTCATCCGATTTCTTTAGGGATCCCTAAATTTCATGAATCAGCCCAGCTGGGTGGTGACGGGAAACTCTGCTTATGATACAAACTTTTCCTTGTAAAAATCTGTTCGGAAGATCCTGCGCTGATGGGGATTTATTTTGTAAAAGATGTTTCCCTCAGGATTATGTGACTAGAAAGCTGATTCAAGGCATGCCTGGGCCATTTTTGCTTTTGTCTGAAAGCAGGGTTAGAACATGCGAGTTTTCAACGGTGAGCCTAGTGTGGAGTTAACTCATAAACCAGTAATATCAGTCAGAAGGACCAGGCCAGTTCAGCCCCATTTCCTCCAACTGCATTTTATTGCAGAAACAGAAGGCTTTGTTTTTTGTTTTTAATGTTTGCTTTCTGAGACCACCCTCCATGAATTGCTCTTTTTCTCCTAAAAGTGCCTTTGGGATTCTCCCAGTAATTCATGGAAGAGTGTGAATGTTTTTTGAGGGAATTCGATTAAAACATAACCCACTTCTGAGGCTGCCGTTCTGAGAGAGGCCATTCATATTTGTGCTGTCTGGGTCCTCTCCATCCCACCCCCTTGACATATAATTTCCACATTCTTCTCCACTGTTTCACCCTTACCAAATCCCTTTCTCCAGTGGCACATTTTAGCCTTTTTTTTCTCCCCCTTGACAGTTTCTTTCTGTTCTCTTTCTTTTTGTTCCTTTCTCATTTTTTTCTGGACACCTCTTTCTCACAGGGCTGTGTTCCCCGTATATCAGCCTGGCGGTTCCCTGCTCTCCAGAACACCCATCTTCCATTGCTTCTGTCTAGATCTTTAAATGATCAGTCATAAGAAATAAGCTCGCTGGCTCAGATGACTTCATGTTCTCCCCGCCCCCCCCCCCCCCCCGCCGAAGGATTACATAATTTCTGCTCAAATTATTCTCCATTTTTCTCAACTCACAAAACTGAACCATAAAGACAAAGAGAACACACATGGAACCCTGAATTTCATCATTTTCTGTAGTGATCCTCAGATGTGTGCATACAGCCCAAAATGAACGGCCATTGACCGGCTTCTGTGTGAGAGGGCTTTGGTTTGCTCGTTGATGCGCATGTCTGCACGTGCTCGTGCCGACCCTACAGTCATCCAGCAGAAAGGCTAGACTCCTTGGCAAGGATTTCCCAGATGGAGATGGAAACTGGTTACTCATGCTGAGAAGGTTCTACAGAGATTGTTGGGGTTGGAGGTGAACTTTTAGATGGAAGGGAGATGTGGGAGCCGGTGATGGTGAGGTTAGAGTCTCCCCTTAGTTAAAGTGCTTGGGTCCAAAGATGTTGACAGTGTCCTGGGAGCCCCAGCAGGCGTTAAGGGAAGTTAAATCCATGTTTCCTTTTGGCAGCATAAACGGGAGACGCTCAAGATGACCAAGTACGTAGAACTGGTTATTGTAGCAGACAACCGAGAGGTAAGTGCTTCTGGAAATTTCTCAATAGTTAGTTTTAGAAAAAAAAAGGAAAAAGAAAATGTTTAGCAAGTTATTATTTGCTTTAATTAACTTAGTTTTCTATAAGTCCTTCAAATTATTGTGAACAACCCATGGAAAAAGTGATTTTCTGATATTATAAAGTATAAAATATTAAAAATGTTCCTGATATTACAAAATATCAGAAAAAAACTGAGTAGCTCTGTAGCTAAGCTCTTCAGACACGGAAAATTAGTTGAGGGACATGGCAGATGGCTTTAGAATGTATTCTAAAACGTTTGGGAGAAAAGTTTAGTTTAAAAAAATGGCCAATATGTCCTCAACCCAAATGAATGAATGAGTGAAAGCTGTAAAGACACAGCAGAAAAATCCTACCTTCTGAAATAGGGCTGATGTTAGGTTAGTTTTTTCTTTTAATCAATTTTTAATTAGCAGTTTGGGGATTATCTTCTCTGAACTCATTTCTTGCCTCTTCTACGTATTATGAATTAGGTGACATTTTCTCATAGACAGCACATATAAATGAAACAGGCTTGACAATTTCTCAGAAAACTGTTCCCATTCTGGAAGGTCAAATTAGAGGGGAGGAGAGGGAAATTATTAACTTTTTATCCACTTTCCTCTGTATTGTTTGACTTGTTGCCATGAGCATCTATTACTTTTACTATTTAATTTTAAAAAACAAATATAAAGGAAATTTCTGAGGAAGTTAAAATCAAGTTGATGACATGAAAAATGGCTTTGGACTCTCTTCTAGTTGTCTGTTTTCTCTTTGCCAAAACATGTCACTGCCTCTATCATTTATGAGGCTGGAAAAATCGCAGAAGTTACTGTCTTATGAGCACTTGGCTTGGGCGAATTTCAGGGAGTTTCAGAAAGTCCCCGGATTGGGGAATTACCGAGCAGGATGGGAGCTCATTTCAGCATAAACCAGGGAAGGCTTGGGTGGTTTGCAAAGCCCAAGACTTCACATTTCCAGGGGCTGGGAAGACAAGGTTTGATTGATATTCTTGCTGTTATTAATGCTGACATTTAAAATTATTAAGTTTCAGAGGCAAGGAAAAGATCTGGAAAAAGTTAAGCAGCGATTAATAGAGATCGCTAATCACGTTGACAAGGTAAGTTCTTTTTCGGGTAATTAAATCACTCAAATCATGTAAATGTTAGGAAATGAGGTGGAGGAGATGAAGCACACCTCATCTGACTGAGCAGGGAGAGGGGGATCTGCCTCTGGGCTCCCCTCCTCTGAGCACAGACTTTCAGGGCCTGGAGCAGCTACAGGAGGTGACAGCCCATACTGACCAGACTACAGTGGCCTTAGGAAACAGCTCCTCCACTCCCTGCTGGCCAGACAAGAGTCCCAGTCTGAGGGGATCTCAGACCCCCAGTTCCATGCAGAACCCCGAGAGGGTGCCTCTGACCCTTTTAAAAGCTCCCTAGTAGATCTCTTCCCAGGTTTCCTGGGCTGATCTCACTGCCCCTGCAAACCTTCCCCATCTGCCCAGCTCTGTGCCAGCGTGGCCCTGAGGGTGTGCGCTCATTTATAAGGGACACACGCTGGACACAGAAATGGCCTTTTGGCCTAGTCAGCTGGTGGAAAATCCCTCACAAAGAAAATCTCTCAGGAGGTGGGGAGCTCACCTTTGACCAAGGTGACGTCAGAGCTGGAAGAGACCCTGGGCATCTGAGCTGACCTGGGGGTATTTGCTCAGCACCACCCCTTCCACCCCCTGTTCCCAGGGAGATGGTGGAACTGTCTACACCACCTGCCCTTCAGAAACACACCCTGCAGGGAAGCACGGGCATCGAGCTGTTGGATGCTGATGCTCTCAGCCAACAACGGAGCCGCTCACACGTTCGCAGTCCTTGCTGCCTGGGTGTCTGGGTGGAGCCTGGACAGCAGGATGCCCCAGGTGGTTCTCACATGCACCATGGCTGGCCCCCGCTGACCTAACGCAACCACAACTGTAATTCTCAGCAGTTGCCTGTCTCCTGCCTGTGAAGACAGCTGAGTGGGAAGAGGGGCCGGGCTCACTGCTGAGCCTTTCACAGCCAGGATCCTCTGAAATGTTCACATTTTACACATAGCAGTTTGAGGGTGCCTCGTGGTAGCTGTGTTTTCATACAATCATATATGTGAAGGGTGTTTTCAAAGTTTTCAGAAAAACGAAGGCAAAGGCCCTTCTAGCAATTCAGCTCCATTCTACAAGGCCTGGTGGGCCACACCAAGCACTGTGCATTGAGAATTCAGAAAGCATCAGACATGGTCTTGTTAGACCCTGAAAGTAAAAGGAAACCATGAATGACATTAAACCGAGACCGGTCCTTGCTGAAATCCATTTTAAGAGGATGTGTTTGGTTTTCCATGTTTGTATTTCTTTACATCTCATTCTATATTATATTTTGCTTCAGTCTGCAAAACTCAAAATGAGCAATTGGGATTCGCTGATAACTTGCACTGGTAATTAAAAAGCTATATACCTCAGCAAAGCCCTAACGGGCTCGATGGAGTTGGCTACTGTGGCAGAGCTTTAATTTCCAGTGGGGAGAGAGCTGAATTGCTCTAGAAGTTTCAATATTTCACTCTGCAAGTGTCTTGATCCAAAAAAACAATGACTGTCCCAACATCCTCATTTGCAAAAATCTTGGCTTTGCTTGGCCATTCTAAATCAATAACTGCTTGGCTGGCTGTGTTGGCTTGAAAGGAAGTGGGAGAAAGATATCCCAGGCTGGAAAACTGAGAAGTGATTTAGTGACAAAGGTGACATTCTTAAGACCATGAAATTCCCCTGTCAGTACAACACAAAAAGCATGCCTGATGCTTACTTATATTTGTAGGCAAACCCTTCACACAGGAACTAAGAGACATTCCCCCAGATCCTGATTAAATCGCAGTGTGGGAGCAGTGGTGAGGCGGGGGGGTGGGGGGGGCTGCCAAATGAAGTGATTGTCAGAACTTTGCCTCTTTAACCTTTCTCCTCCAATCTTCCTACTTCTTATTCATTAAGAAGTTCGCGCCAGCTGCAAATTCTTTAAGGCTGAGGCTCTGTGACCCTACTTTTCAAAGGATTCTACTGTGCATTTAATGCATTTAATTTCTGCAGGTCTTTTTCCTCTTGTGTGAGTCTTCTTCCCTACTCTCCCAAGCTAGTTGCCTGAAGGATGCAAGTTCCCATGCTGGACCCTAGGAGACTGTCCTTTAGCTCTACCCATTTTTTTGCAGATCCACTTCTTCCAGAAAGCTTTCCTTGAGCCCTCGAGGACAGCACCCCCTGAACTTCCGGTTTGCACCCTTTCTTGGCAGCTCGCTCTATTGGAGTCACTGCAATCATGACCAATGTTCCATGCCTGGCACTTCCTGCTGGCCTCTGAGAATTTGGGAGCCAAGGGCAAGGGTGTCCTAACCGTTGCTCTTTGTGCCAGTGCCAAGCCTAGCACACAACAAGAGCCAAGCAAATATTTGTTGCTGCTGTATTAGTGGGTGAATCCATTCAGCTGGTCTCGGACCATGTCCACATACATTCCAGGATTCATAGACCCGGCATGCAGCTGCCAAGCTCCAGTTGAGCTTCTTCTCTGGACCTGGGGTCACCGTGGGTCATCTTGGGACAGCAGCTGAGCACTCGCACAAGGGTGGCTATGCTAGTGGTTTAAAACCTAGGCACCAGAATCAGCCTGCCAACGTTCAAACCCCAGCCATGCCAGCCATGCCTTGAATGGTTACTTAGTCCTTCCATGTCTCAACATCCTTGACTATAAAATGGGAATAATAATGGTTCTCAACTCTTGGAGTTATTGTGAAGACTAATAGAGCTATGGCATGGAAAGCACTTCGCCCTGTTCTCGGATGTAGTACATGCTAGTAAGTGGTAGCTGTGGCGACTGTTAATAGGAAGAACCATAGGAAGCCCTCGGCTGTCCTGGGGAGATTTGCAGCAGGCAGTAAAGGGATTGTGTATGAAAATGCGATGTGAGTTCAGCATATGTGGCATGGCTTTGGAGAGGAGGGCCTACATGTTATAGACTTCTACACATGAAACCCACTCTAAGGATGTGATTTGAGAGAGCTAATGGATGGAAATGGCCACCCATCATTATTATGAAAAGCTCCTTGGTTAGTAAGCACCAAAGCTCCCCTCAGGAACGATGACAATTAGTCCTTTATAGACCTTGGTTACTACTTCCATACAACACTTGTCAGAGGCAAACAGTGTCCCCTTCACAGATGGCAACCCTGAAGCCCACACAGGCTGTCTGACCTGAGGGTGTCGTGTCGTTTAGCAAGCTGATGTGGACATCAGCACGGGATCTCCTAGTCTCTGCCTGCTGATCACTGTTCTCACTGTTCCCTTTGTATGGAATACAGCTGAAGGTGTCATCTCTCCATCAAAGGGCAGCAGCTGGACATGTGCGTTCAGGGGTCCAGAGGGGTCTAGGAACTCAGTTTTGCCTAGGAAGCCTCGGCTTGGAGTTTTCAAGTAGATACCATAGGCCAAGCAATTCTTGGTTAAAAACAAGCTGTTGGGTAGTACTTTGGCCCTATAATTGTCTCATTAACTATGAATGTAACGCCCATAATTTTTATCTGCTTGGAGCCAAGTTGGACTGCCGCAGTCAGTTTATATTCTGTGATATAGTTTGTGCTCCAGTCGTATTCTTCCGCTAACCGAATGCTCACCAGATGACTGTGAGGAGATGAGCAGGGAAAAGATGAGTCTGCCTTCCATTGGTCAGAACCCAGGGGGAGATGCTCAACTTTGGGGAGTGTATTGCGCTTTAGCTCATTGCCTCGGAATGGGCCTAACTATCCAATGTGCAGCTTCTGTGAGCTTCGTGACTTGTTGGCCCAGATGCATCTAGTAACTGAGAACAGGACCTGCTCCCACCTGGAGCTTGACTTTGGTAGCTCTCACATCGTTGTCCTTGGCTACCTGGACTGTCAGTAGATGAGGGGCTTTCTCACTGTGCACTGCCTCACGTCACAGGCATTGAATGATTTGATAACCAGCCAGGTGATGATCCTATGTTCTCACCCCCTGGGCCTTGAGCACAAAGCCATCTCCCTGTGTACGGGATGCACTTGGGGGCAGCAAGTTGGGTGGAAGCAATGGGTAGTCCTAACCTCTTCCCCTGACCACTCATCCAGCCCCAGTAAGCTTGTCTGGGACAAAACTACCCCTTCATCCATTCAAGAGTTGCCCTACCTACCTTTGACTCAGGACGACCTGCTTACAGGGAAAGGGCTATAGGTTGAAGTCATGAATACGTAAAGATGGGGGACAGGAAGGCAATGAGAAGATGTGCTTTGAGAGGTGTACCTAAAGCTTTATTTCACAAGCCAGTAAAAAAGGGGCTTCATTTTCTTTCTAAGATTTTATTGGGGAATTGGGGAAGGGGTACAGCCAAGTCGTTGTCCTTCAATCTTAGTTGTGGAGGGCGCAGCTAGCTCAGCTCCAAGTCCAGTCACCATCCGGCTGCCCATTGGCAGTTTGCAGCCACTCAGCTCAAGGTGCCGTGTTTAATCTTAGTTGCGGGTGGGCGTAGCCCACCATCCCATGTGGGAGTCGAATGGGAAACCTTGTTAGGAGCACGTGCTCTCACCAGCTGAGCCGTCCTGCCACCTGTTAGCAGCTCAGCAGCAGCTTAGCTTGGGTGCAGCTCACTGGCCCATGTGGGAATTGAACCGGTGACCCTGTTGCTCAGAGCTCAAGCTCTTAACCAACTGAGCCACTGGGCCCACCCAAAAAGGGGTTTGTTTATAATAGATCCTTCCCATGATGCCATTGGTGAGTCAGCTTCTGGCTGTGAGAAGAATGGTCATTACAGTTCCTGAAGAAGGGTTCTGTTTATGCCTTTATTATTCGGAAAGCTATTGATGCACTCATTTAATTAAAACCTTCTAGACTGATTATAGGTGACAGAAAAGGATAGTGTCAGCCAAAGCTTAGTCTTTGCTGAAAAATTAATACAGATTCATTTTCAGGAACTTATAGGTGGAACATTTTGCTTAAAGTGAACAAAGCGCCGTCCTTGGCAGAGTGTCTGAAAACCCTCACTCACTCATTGTCTTTCCTGCAGTAGCTATTAGCTGGCAGCCTTTAGCTGTAATATAACTACATGAGCTATAACCCACATCTAGATGCACATTTGAAATCACCAACGAATCATTTGAAATGTGAGCTTCCATACAAATAAGGGCAGACATCAAAAGGCCAATAACTTGAGCATCTAATTGGTCAACAAGATTTGAGAACCCAGGTAACACATCATTTTGCATCAGTCACTGTGAATATTTCTTAAATTCTAACGCCACAGGAATAAGGAACACGGCATTATTTTTCTCACCCAAGTCTATTAAGTTCAAAGCGGGCACATCTGTTCTGCTCTGCATTTTAAGTTCTCGTGAGTGTGATCCCCCAAGGATGCCTGTCTTCATCAGTTTTACAGACCACTGAACATCCGAATAGTGTTGGTCGGCGTGGAGGTGTGGAATGACATCGACAAATGCTCTATCAGCCAGGACCCATTCACAACCCTCCATGAGTTTCTGGACTGGAGAAAGATGAAGCTTCTACCTCGCAAATCCCATGACAACGCACAGCTTATCAGGTAGGGCATTCGTTGTCTCTCCTTCACTTCAGCACACCCAGTCTCCTCTTAGGTCCACCTACACAGCCCCTAGAAGGCACACCGATTTATACAAGCGGGGTTCTCAGCCCTCATCAGTGGGGCAGAGGCCATGCTGACCAGAATTTGGGGTCTGTTGCGAAAGTCTCTCTTTGGACAGCCTGGGAAGTCTATTCCTCTGGATGATGTCTGCTTTCCTTCTCCTGTCACCTGAACATTTACCTTTGTGCAGCATTTTCTCATCTTCGTCTTGATGTAAAGTTGTCCAGAGCAGGCTACTTTTTTAAAGCTCATTTTCTTTCTTTACTAGGGAAAAATGTTTATGCTAGATCTGAAGACAGTACACCAGGGTGATTACGGTCAGATGTTTGGGGAAAGATAATCTTTTTCCCTCCTCGTGTTTCACCGTGATTCTTTGATTGTCTAGATCAGAGAATGCCAGCAGTATAGCACATTAACCTTGTGTTCTGTCTTTCAATCAATTTGTATTGAGCACCAGTTGGGAACCAAACATGTTTTAGGAGCTTTGAACACAATGATGTCCAACACCGTGGGCCTCCCACTGTCAGGGTCTCCAGTCTGATGGGAGAAGGCAGCAATAAATAAGGAAATTTTAGAGAGCGATAAGTGTGTGAAATAATAAATGAGGAAAGCACAGCTGTAATATATATGGTACAATGGTAAGATATTACAGGCGCCTTTATATTTAAAAGAAAAAAAAAACACTCTTATAATCTAAATCAGTATGAAGCACATTTTTCCCAAAGTGACAAACTTTTAATTCAAATCCTTAAACAGCTTATGTCATTATTCTTTTGTTCTTATGTAGCTCATATCATTGAATTAAAAGATTTGGAATCAGAGACACTTTTCTTTAGCAAATTAGATCTCATTTACGGAACATTTGTGGAAAGCAAACAACCAATCCTACCCTATCCTCCCTTTGGAAAATGCCTACATCTGAACTGAGGCTGGTGGCATCCCCTGACCATTTACTTTGGCCATTTTCACACAGTTTTTCTTTTTTCCTGCCTTGAATATTTGTGGTTGCCTCATATTTTATGCATTGATTAATCCTGAACTACTAAAAGTAGAATCAGAGTGTTTTGTTTTGATTTTTTTTCCCAAATGGGAGTCTGTCCAACTTGAACATCTGGAAATAAATTAGCCTCTTATATAACCTTATTATTTATTTATATACATGTTTAATCTATAGTCTATATGGTCTACATAGATGCCAATGTAAAAGCTATACTCCCTACTATTCTACATAAGAATGTAATGGGTTGGATGAATGGATGGTTGGGTGGATGGATGGATGGATACATATATACATACACAGAGATGAGGTTTTATATGTACTTACTCTCTTTTATCCAAGCGACCACTGCCAAAACACTGAACTTGTCAAGTAATACATGTAAAATCTATGTATGTACATAGCCAAGGTAACATGGGTAAGTCATTTGTTTTCCTTAAAGGAGATTCAACAAACCCAGTGTTTGTTTGTTTGTGTTTAACTGCTCTGTATACATGTTTTATTTATTTATTTATTTATTTATTTATTTATTTATTTATTTATTTTAAAGATTTTTATTAAAAATATAGCTTACATACTATATTATATTAGCTTCAGGGATACACCATAGTTATTCAACATTTATATATCTAAAGAAGTGGATCACCGGGCCGGCCGAGTGGCGCGATGGTTAGGAACTCGCTTGGGATGCCGGAGGGCCCCGGTTCGGATCCCACATATGAGGGCCAGTGACACTGCCCTCCACAGCTAAGATGCTGAACAACAGCTCAACCTGGAGCTGGGCTGCCGTGAGTCCCCGGCGACGGCGTGGGCTGCAGCCCCTGTGGCAGTGGGTTGCCATGGGCTACCGTGTGTAGCCAACAGCCAGCGTGAGCAGCCAGCAGCCGCCGTGAGCGGCCGTCCAGAAGCCGGCGACTGATCTGCCTCACCAGGGAAGAGCGCAATGATGGTGCCAACTTGGGCCAGTGAAGCAACATCATCCACAACTAGACTGAAGAACAAAACGACAGCAACTTGTCTGTTTCCCTTCCCCTAATTCCCCAGCACTGTTCCCATCCCCCCAATTCCCCAATAAAAATCTTTAAAAAAAAAAAAAAGTGGATCACCATGTAAGTCCACCAACCACCTGACACTGTACCACGCTATCACAATATTATTGACCATATTCCCTGTGCTGTACATTACATCCCCATAATTTATCTATTTTATACCTGAAAACTTGGGCCTCTGATTGCACTTCACCTTTCCCCCCCTTTTTAAATTTTTCAATTACAGTTGAAATTCAATGTTATTTTATATTCATCTCAAGTGTACAGCATAGTGGTTAGACATTTATATAAGTTAAGAAGTGATCCCCCCGACTAGCCTAGCACCCACCTGGCACTTTGCATAGTTATTACCATATCATTGACTATGCTTTACTTTACATCCCCATGACTATTTTGTAACTACCAATTTGTATTTCTTAATCCCTTCACCTTTTTCACCCTGCCCCCGACCCCCTCCCATCTATCACCCCAACAAATCTAGTACCCATCTGACACCATACATAGTCATTACAATATTATTGACTATAATCTTTATGCTGTACCCTACGTCCCCATGATGACTGTGTAACAACCAATTTGTCCTTCGTAATCCAGTGTTTAATGTTTCATGCATGAGATTGGCATTAATAGCACATGCATTAAGCAGGCATCGATGTCATTAGACTCATTGATCAAGAGTCCATATGAAGGAAAGCTGCACTGGGCCGCAAGACCCCTTTCCAGGAGCTTTTTCACAGGGTGCTGAGGCTTTGTGGGTACTTAGTTCTTCTACACCGACTCCCAAGGATCGGCCTTGTTTCTGCCGCGTTCCCTTTTGCAGGCTACTTAGCAGGGTGCTGTGGAACAGTTCGGGCTTCCATCCTAACTGTCGTGTTACACAGGAAAGCAAAATCCAGCTACAACAGAAAATCTAGTGAGCCATCGAATGCATTTCATTTAACTGACAGTGATTCTCTGTGGCTCGTCTCAGCCCTTCCATCAGTAGACATCGTTTAAAAGGAGCAGCTCCCCGCAGTCCATTAGGAAATAGGCAGAATACAATGTATACATACAGAGAGTCATGAATGGTGGTTGTCCAAATCTTGAAAACAAAAATCTGAAAGGATTACGGGACCATGATGCAACTGGAAAATAAACTGTAAAAGATCTAAAGATAGAATCACCTGTCAAGTTACCTTCCTGAAGCCGTTCTCATTTTTGCGTAGGGTTTTGCAGCTCCTGTGGGAATGTCCAACCGAATTTCAAATATTAGAAAATGTCTTTATTCTATAGTACTTTAAGGAAGTCCTTTCTTTTATTTTCTAGTGGAGTTTATTTCCAAGGGACCACCATCGGCATGGCGCCGATCATGAGCATGTGCACGGCGGAACAGTCCGGAGGAATCGTCATGGTAAGTGAGCCAGGAGCACCAGGAAGCTGACACCAATGGCTGCATCGATCCCCTGACGAGTTCCCTGGAAATCTCTATTTTCATCAGACTTTGTGACATGAGGTTCTTTTCATTAATACGCTTTAGATTTGATTCTACCTTCTAGGCCTATTTATGGTCTTCCATGTCCCACAGCATTGTGGAGACTGTTTACAAAACACATCAAGTTGCATACAGGGAAGGTAGGTACATAAAAATAGCCCAGGCTGAACCAGCCTTCCCCTTTTACTGAGAAAAAGCTTCCGCTGGGGTTTTGGTCACAGCATTCCAACCCAGGAATTCCCTCCCAGCACTGGGGTCAGCCAGGGCACTGGGGTTGCCCCATCACTCAGCTTCTTGGATGGACTGGGGTCTCACCAAACATTACTGTGAGAACGGTTTTCTGATGGTTCTGCCTCTAGGCCCAATAGCCAAAAGTCTGAGGTTTTTAACTATTTACCACTGCAAATGCTTGACATACCTCCTAGCCAGTGTCCAATTTGTCTGTATAATAACCTTATTCTTGGAAGGCAGAGACCTAGGTTTATTGCTTTACAAGGATCGTTTTGTCATATATGGGCTGTATGTGTTTGTCAAAGGAAGTAAAATGGGGAGAATATTTGAGACTTGTTTCTTATGAATTTAAGAGGGAGGCCGCTTTGCTAGGCTGCCCAAAGGGGACTCCCGCCCCACTCCATCAGGTAATTAAAGAAAAGGTTTTCACCCCGTGCTGGTGGCTGTCCCTGCTCTGAAAATGTAGTGTCCCCTTTGCCCCAGCCCTTAGACAGGGAGTATCCCCAGAGGCCATTCCACCACCTCCACTAAACAAATGGAACCTTGCCCTTCCAAGAAACCATGAATTCCTCCACATTTCTCAAACAGAACGCTTGTGAATATTCCATGGTATTAAAGGGGGGAAGGAGTAATATTCTGCTGACTGTTACTTTCTCCCCACATACTGCCCAACCCAGCCTTCTTAGTGAATATACGCGGGGGATGTTTTCCTCTTCTCTGGGCAGTGTTGGTAATTCATGTAAACGTGCACCAATGGACAGGCTGTTTGGAGGGCTTGCACCCACTCATTAAATATCGGGCTCGAATGGACGACCCTCTGGTTTTTCTGCAACCTGGAAGCCCTGTTGTGAGAGCTCCACCATGGAAGCCATTGGAAAGTTTGGTTTTTGTTGGTGCCAGGTTAATTTCAAGTCAGATCCCAACTGTGTTTTTCCAGAGCAGCCTGTAAAGTTTTAAGAGGGAATCATTTTCTGTTTCATGGTTCCATGGTCAGCTGCTACTGACTTTGCCACTTAAACTTGGCATAAATATTTTTTAGAGCTGAAACTGAATTCCTCATAAGCATGGCAGGTTCTGCCACTGTGTGGTGCTTAAACATTTTTATAATCAATCCAATCATAGTAAGTGGCTTTCTTGAGTTCAAATCCCTGATTCTGTTTCCAGACAAGCCTTTTATCAAGATGCCTTCTTTGAAGGCATACAAGGACACCAAAGTTTTTTGTTTTGTTTTGTTTTTTATGGATGAAAATGAATGTGGGAAATAAAAGCAAGTATGTGGAGTGCAGTAAGAATCAAATCAAGGCCAAAGTCAGTCAACAGGAAATACGTTTATCGAACTGGGCAGCAGTTAAGACCACCCTTAGACATATTCCTTATTTTCTCCGCATACAAGAGAAGCATCAAGTAGGATGAAGAGGCCACAACTCCTTTAATTTCTATGAAAGACTCAAAACAAGGAAGATTAATATCTTGATCAGATCTAAAACTTCTAGACCAACTTTCTCCTAGTGTGTCTCTCAAGTTAAGTTCACGGGTCTTATAAGTGGCCATGCCTCATTCAAAACTTAGAGATCTGAGAGGAAGGAACTCATAGAACAAGGAAGCAGGACTCTTAATCCGATTGAAAATTTGAGTTCTGGTAGTTTCTCCATTTTTTTCAAAATAGAGCAAATCATGAATTTTGATAACTTAAAAGCCATGCTTTTGTATTGCACTGGACTAAAAGACACTCTTCGTTTGGGGATAATGCCATGAATAAAGAAGTAGTTTTTGTTTTTTTTCTTAGTACAGATGTAAACTGTTTATCAGAATCCTTAATAATCACCTATATGTGAAAGAAAGTAAAACAATTTGGCAATTAAAACCAAAACCACGATATTCAGTGATACACAAGAATCAGAGGTCAGTTTTGAAGGATGAATTCCTTGAATTTTGAGCCAGAGGATGTGAAATTCAGCCCTTCGTGCTCTGGGCTTGACTATATTCCTTTCGCCAACGTGTGTTATTCTTGAGAACTGATTTCCTGAAACATATTTGTGAAGCTTCCTACAACAGGAAACTGTAAAACCCAAACAAAGTCATTTATTAGGAATTTCATCTATTCTAAGAATAACTCGGGTCCTGGACGTGCCATCCTTTTCTTAGACAAAGGACTAGTGAGAGAGGCAGATGCAGCTGGAACTACTAACGCACCTATAAGATCTTAAACCGACAAAAACATCTTGATCACAAGGTCCCACGGAGACTCTTTCAGGAATGATACTTTCTCTAAAACACAGTATCGCTGTTTCCTGGAACCTCTTGGAAACTTCTTATCTCATTCCTAAGTAACACAAAGCAGGATTCAAATGAGGTACCTTCATTACTCTGAGGTGCACAGGTCTTTTCTGAAACACCATTCATGGGCATGAGCTCTACAAATCATATTCACTAATTAACTAATTTTGGTTTGTTAAATTGAAATAGCAATATATTTTTCGTTACTTCTAATAACTATTTAGCCAAGCCATCCATGCACTCCACTGAGTTCAGCTAGCCACGCAAAGCTTGCTGAGTGCAGAAACTGTCCCCTTCAAAACCCAAGCAAAAGGTTGCCTGAACCCCAACAGCCAAAGTCAGAGCAGCAGGACGCCTCCATCTATTCCTGAAGTCTACCTGACAGGACGGAGGGCCAGCGAGAAGTGAGGACCTACTGGATTACATTTTTAATTCAACGAGTCTTCAAAGGGATTGCTCAGCATGGTTGGCATTTTTGTAAATTGTTGGGAATTTGCTAAGTATCCTTCTCTATCAAGTAGACAGGAAGATGCTTACTCAGTAACGACTGCTCAGATCTTACTTAGGATGTCACAAAGTATGCTTCCCCTTACCAACTTGATGTCAGCAACATTGCAGTCACAGTAAGATGATACTTTTGTTCCCCATGAAGGAATGAGACTTTCTTCCTATGATGTAGCACAACTTTTCGCTTCATTCAGTCGAAGGGTATTTTCCGGGGGACTATAGGAAGTGGGCTAGAGAAAGATGCCTTGATTATCTCATGTAAAGACATAAGACTACATGAGCTATTCCTTCCTCAGCAAAAGGGACCCCAAGCTGGTTTAATAAAACATGTCAAATATTTTTTTTCTAAATTTGAAGGAAATAATGGGGCTTTCTATTGGCTCTTCGTTCTAGGGGAATGGGTTCAGTCAAATGTGGAAGAAAGCTAAATGTCTGGGAAGTGGGGGAACCGGGAAATAAGGCCAAGGAGATGTGACCTGTACGTCTGTGCTCTTGTGTTCTCTTGGAGGACCATTCAGACAGCCCCCTTGGCGCGGCTGTGACCCTGGCACATGAGCTGGGCCACAATTTCGGGATGAACCACGACACGCTGGAGAGGGGCTGTAGCTGCAAAATGGCTGCCGATAAAGGAGGCTGCATCATGAACCCTTCAACCGGGCAAGTACCAGTGCTTCCAGCTGCTTTTAGAGTTGGGCTGCGACTTGAAATGTGTATTGGGAAACAGCTAAGCAGAAAGCTCCCTGGTTTTCTGGCCAGGGTACCCATGGGAGCTGCCAGAAAGACATTCCTTCCCAAGTAGCAGGAATGGTGCTCCTCTGAGAGCGTCACAGGCAACCAGATTCCAATGCCACATGGTGAGAGGGCAGACCTCTCCCCTGAGAAGTGGTGGGGCGAGTGCTGCCTTTGTTTGGAAGTCACACATTTTCCTCCAGCCCCGGCACACAGCTCCAGGGCTCCAGCCTTCTGAATGCCTGGTAAACCCACTGGGCAAGGTGAGCGAGGTGACATGGGTCCGTGTCCTTCAGGGCGTGCTAAGGAAGAGGTGCTTCTGCCCTCAGGGTTGGCCCTCGGCTGTATTTGAAGTGCATTCGTAGCTTGGGGATTTATAATGTTCCCATCTCTGCTGCCATATCACCTTATCTGGTCTTAGAGGTTAAATGAAGTGACTTTTCTGTTTCAGCAAATTATGTGGTTCCACCTCATTCAATGCCTTTCTGGAACTCTTGACTTGGTTCACCCAGAAAAAATGGAACACAGTTTCGTTATCAAGGGTTCAAATGAGGTGGAAATAGATGCGACTCTGAGTGATTACCAACACTGATGTGTTCTTCCACCTCAAAGGGCCCATCCCAAGCTAGAATGTCAGATGTTCATTCATAAGGGAAAACATCCACTTGGTCAAGGCCGCCATCTCTAAATTCCTGGGAATCATCCCAGCACATATCTTCATGGCCCTTCCCAGGCCGAGGCTGCTCTCAGGGTTTGCTGACAGAGACCAGTGGGAGCAAGAAGCAAGTGCTGACTGGCAGCCGGAGGACTGGCCTCCATGAAGACAGTCATGGTGTGAGGGGGGACCCCTGCGAGGAGGTCTGAAATTCCCAGAAAGGGGATGAGTTGTTATGGAATGTGGTTATGCTTTTGTAAGCGATAGCCTTGTGGGCCTCCTGCCCAAAGGCTTGTAGGGCATCAGGGTGCCCCTAAAACAGAGACTGGCGGAACTGCATGTCTCACATCATGGGTGTTATCATGTCACGTGTGCTGTGGACGAGGCTTCTTATTCCAGCAAGGTCCAGCTTCTTCTGTCCCTCACTACCCTCAGCACAAAGCCGTCGAGGCGTGTCTTTTGCTCCTGCTTCTGTCTTAAGCACAATTCAAGGGAGTCACCAAGACCTAGTAGCTCCACTGTTGCTCTCTAACCCTGTGATGACCTGGGCCTTCCCTCTTTCCTTCCTTCCTTCCTTCCTACCTT